CAGCAGTTGGGTAGCTGTTGCTTACAAAAAGGGAGAGGGATGAGATGGCAGGAAGGTGGGCAAGGTAGAAACACACCACCCAATAGCACTAGATTGGCTCTGCCACTGCATTTGCACTGTGCTGACCTCCCTGCCACCTCTCCGCTTTCCGTCTTCCTCCTGGTGAGCAACAGTGAGCCACCTGCCAGGAAGCTAGCATAGCCCCCACCTGAGCTGCTTCTGGGATCAACTGTATTATGGGTATGGTTGGTGGAAATGCCTGAGAATGAGATCCGTATGTGGAAGGGTAATAAGGATGTGCTTGGGAAATGTTACTGTGCCAGAAAGTACGGGTGCAGCTTCTATTTGAGTTATTTGGTTTAGCTGCTAACAATGCTTTAATGCATGGGGGTTTTATTTGATTTTTACTTGCAATGTTTTCTGACATCTAAGAGGATGCCTTGTTTTGCTGCTAATTATGCTGCATTAATGAGGATTTTTTAAAATTTTGAACAAATGATTTGTCTGTGTAACGTTTTCTTCTGGGATTTTGGACTGCTGTATTTCAAAATATGCTGTAAGGTGTTTGGGTTGTTTTCCTTCCAAAAACTGTAAAGTGGAATACAAATGATGTAAAATAAAGAAGTGACTTCATTGATGTGATATAGTGGCAACCATAAAAGGGAGAATGGATACCTCAACTACTGAAAACATAAAACACAACTAGGTCTGCCCCAGAAAAAGGCTTTGGTGGGCAAAAGCAGCCTCCTTCTTTAAGAATGAGTGGTGGCCTTGTCTTCTAGGGCCTATGGGAAGAAGGCATGACACCTAGAGCACTTGATGCTTCGCTTGGTGCAGCAATTTCCATGATCTTCCGTGTTATGAGACTCTAGGCATTTGATTAGACTTTAATGCCCAAACCTTGGCCCTCTGAAAGCAGTGCAGGCTTTTCATCAATAATTGCAATGTGTGTTTGCTCAGTGACTTACACCAGATCTTTTGTGGCAATAAAGGAAACAATAGTTGCTCTCTAGAGGAGTTTTGGTGGAGACTTTTATGAATTCCATGTCTGCTTTGATATCTGGGAAACTCATTTTCCAGCAATAAAAAAGCTATCTCTGCAGAAAGTTCTTCCTTTTTTACTTCTTGGTTAATTTCCTATGGGAGGAATAAACCAACTGGTCACATTGAAACAGTGAGCAAGATCTTCAGAGTAGCAGAATTCTATGTTTGCTAGGGGTGGTATCAAAATAGTTTCTCTGCCTAGATATGGAAAACTGGGTTAGACACATGGTTCCCAGTTTGGTCTGTCTGAGTGCTATTCAGTTAATGTTTGCTGATCGTAAACCCACAGAAAGTAATGGACCTAACTTAGTCAGGTTCATTAATTTCAAAGGGTCTACTCTGAGTAAATGCTAGTTGAATTCCTCACTCTGTGTTGTAGATATGCAGCAAGCTTTCACTTATTTCATCATCATCTTATGGGCAGAACCAGTGGTCTGTCTGCATGCTAGCCCGACAGTACATTTAGTGCAATATTTTGTTTCTGTCATCAGTGTTAGTTGGGTGCATTTGGAATATCGCCTACTGTTCCGGTAGCCTCCCCTCAAAAAGGATATTGCAGAGTTGGGAAAAGTTCAGAAAAGGGCAACAAAAATGAACAAGGGGACTGGAGTAGCTCCCTTCTGTGGGAAACTCGAGAAAAGGTAAGAGACAAGTTGATAAAAGTGGGTACAAATTATGCATGGCGTGAAGAAACCGGGTAGAGAAAAGCTTTTCTCCTCTGAAAACACTAGAATTTGTTCAGCAAATGTTGGAGCATTGAGGACAGGCAAAAAGTGCTTCCGCACACAGTGCATAGTTAAACTCTGGAATTTGCTCCAATTTGGATGGCATGAGCCTTCTGTGTTCATATCATAAGTCCCCAAGTTTGCTCTGTCAGAATAGATGTCACACGGCTTCCAGGAATGGCATTTTCAGAATCAGAACAGCCAAGAAATGTATGTATGGCTTGTACTGATACCATCAACAGAGCCAATTGGGGCATGGGGTCAGGAGGGCTATTAGGCCTGGGGCCTCCAACTCAAAGCGGGCCTCAAATTTAGACACTTTCCCCCCTCTTCATTTTGTGGCCTTTGGTGAGTTTCACAACTCGTTTTATGCACACAAGACCAAACTGTGACACAGTCCTCTCAGGCTACAAAAGCGTTTGTTACATATAAAAACATCAAATTATCTACCACTCTATTTTTGGTGCCATGCAATTATGGCTAGAGGCCTCAAAAAGCTGGAAGTGGTTCTTTGGAGCTTTCAAAGGGCCTGGCCATAAACATGTCTGCAGAAAGATTTAGGGAGCCATATTCTGAAATCTCCCCGAAGTGTTAAATCATACCCTTCTCGTACAGCATGCAAGCGAGAGACTAATGATGAATAGCATGCATTAATAAGTGCTACCTGCAATTTCTGCTTCGATGAAAAACGGGAATGGAATCACGGTCCCTGCTGTTTAAAATGCCATTCATGAACTTCAAGAATCCCATTTTCCAATTGCATATCTTTATATCTCACTTGAGGGAGGTTCCACTTATGTACAAATCAAACAGATTTGAAATGTAAAAATACCTCCTACAGTTTTATAAAATAACATTATTACAATTTAATCTGTAAAATAAAAACTCTGGTTATTGACTGTATAAAGTAAGCATCTTTCACCCTTTAAAGTGGCAAAGTAAGATGTTTATGTTTCGCCACCAGGAGAGATGGGCAAAGGTTTAATTTTATTCATCAAACAGGATAAATCCACAGACATCCATTTGATGCAAATGATTACCTAAGGTCTAATTGTCTGAGTAGGAGAAGAAGGTGTGCAATTGACTGATGTTTTGCATTCTTGTTCTGTACTGGGAATTTAAACAAAAAAAAATGCCTTCTGACTATAAACAGAAAAAAGATTTGATGGGGAATAATTATGGAAAAGTAGCATGTCATTTTAAAATGCAATTTTCTAACAGTAATCACAGATAATTCTATTGTGTGGTGCTTGGAGGGACCTTACAGGAGTAAGGTCTTGGATATTTTCTTGAGTAGGTTGGAAAGCTGTTCTAAGAGTCTTCTAAAATTGTGATAAATGGGTCTGGGAAACTCTAGCACAGCACAGAGTAACAAAACAAGAAGCTAAACTAGATTATATTCCAAAAGAACAGCAAGGAAAACATAAATCAGAAAGTTGGGAAAGATGTTACAAATCTTCAAAATTTCTTCGTAAACCCCACTACTGAATTGGTGCCAATAATTGTGCTCTTATTGTTGCCCCTAAAGTGATTATTGCCTTTGTGCTGTTCTCTTACAGTAGATCATATAAATAACTAGTTTTAAAACCCAGTGCTTCAGCTTTTGGAACCCTACGTCTTGCAAAAGTTGATGCTATAGATAGTCACTCGGTATTTGCGAGCAGCTTAGGCTGAAGTCTGCACGATGACCACCTCATCTATGCTAATAAGCCTCACCCATCTTCTTCAAGATATTGTTAACCATCCATCTGGGGGGAGTGGAAACAGGTCGGCTTCTAGCTCATTTCCCTCTCCTGCTAGGAGTATCTGGGATCAAATTTCAGTCCAAAAATTCAGAGACGGCAAGCAGACAAATTCTTAGACACCAAGGATAGAACTGATAGACTACTGTCAGGAAAAATATTTGTAAGGGAAATGGTCAAAACTTAAAACGTCACAGATTTATGGTGATGCCTAATATTTAAATTAATCTACTGTATGTTTTGGGAAGTTGTCTTTTCACTATGTATTTGGACACCACTTAAGATATCAAAAACAAATTTGGATGATGGTCCCCTGCTACCCACGTGTGTTTCTGTGTCTAACCCACTAATCAATATCTATCTAGATTATTTCCTGATGGGTAAAAATATGTTCTAGCTGTCAAAACCCTTCCATTTCTTCTTTGGTGTCTTTCATATGAACAGGAGGAACTTCCCCTCCATTTCTTCCATAATGTACTACCTGCTCCGATGGATTGGGGGAACTCCCAGAACACATTTGGTGGGTGGACACAGGGGGAGAAGAATTGTCTAAGCAGAAGCTCTTGAACGAACGTTGAAAAGTATAGCAATCTGCTTTAGTTTGTTTCAAGTATTCCAAAGTGCTGTGGTTGCTGTGCTTGAAGCTGGGGCCTACCTGATCTCTGCATGTTACCAAGCACAGCATTAATAACCATTGGCATAGAACAAATTGGCAAACAGGTTTTTTTCCATGAAATAATGTTTTTCGATCTAATTATATAGCTATGTGCTCAATTCTGAAGATGTTTTCTTCTTTCACTTGTACAAAATAATGGATTACCTCCTAGAAAATGAGATAAAGGAGAAGGGAACCTTTAGACTACACTTTTCAGATGAGCTTTATAGCTCAGTTCTAAGGTTTATGCCAGGGGTCTGCACCGTCCCGACGTCACCTTCCCGGTTTTGCGGCTCCCAGTTTTTTTTCTTCAGAAACGGGTCCAAGTGGCTCTTTTTGTCTTAAAGGTTGCAGACCCCTGGTTTATGCAAAACTAAATGTATATAAAGAATGTGTATAATGATGAACCAGCTTTTTACGTGGGTCCCCCTGCCCCTGATGCTATTCAATTCCAACTCCCATCAGTTCCAGCCTGCGTTGCCATTGCTCCAGAATGATGGGAGTCCTAGTTCAACAACATCTGGACAGTGTACTGTTGGCCATCTCTGTTTTAACAAGTTGTTATTAATAGTGGCAATGGGCAACCAATGAAACTGTTTTATTATCCTGCATTGTATTAATTGTTTCCATGCGCCTCATCACATGTCATAAAAATAAAAAAATAAACAACAACACCATCAAGCAGTTTCCAAATATGTATAAAACACTAACATAAATTCTCTGTTTGGTTTCAGACCAGACAACCAATGCAGGGACACACATTACTTCTCTATGTGAAGATTAGCTCTGAGGTAGATAAAGGACAGCTCACCCGGTGGACTAAAGGAAAAGAGGGATTCTATAGCTCAGTTGGTTAGAACGTGGTGCTGGTAATGCCAACGTTGCAGGTTCAATCCCTGAATGGGACAGCTGTGTATTCCTGCATTGCAGGGGGTTGGACTAGATGGCTCTCAGGGTCCCTTCCAACTCCACAATTCTATGATTCTATGAATTCTGTTGCTATTGGTTGAACCAGGAATGGGCAGCCTGTCCAGGTTTGTCTCTGCCTTCATCCATCACTGGCTCCAGCCTCACCTACTGCTGGCATGCAGCCTTCATGAGATTACTCCAACCCAAAAGTGTTAAATAATCATTTGCAGGGGTTGAGATTATTGGTGGGAAAAATAATAATCATAATAATAATATAGTTTTTTTGTACCCCCCACATCTTATTGGGTTGCCTCAACCACTCTGCGTGACTACCAACAGAATATATGCCAGCCTTCAAGAGCTTCCCCTCCCTTTCAATGGAGGAGGTAGCAACCTGCAATTGGAGTGAATGAATCATCATCTAGGTGTCACCCAGGACCATCCAGTAACATGATATGAGGGCATGGAGATTTACAATGCACTGGCAACAATCCACACAGTTGGTTGCATGCAGCTAAGCTTTATTCAGAGCAGATTTATTAGGCATGACTCACTTAGGTCCATTAATTTCAATGGGTTAACTCTGAATTGGCTACCATTTGGTATGTCCAAATGTAAAAGCTCTGGGAAGGGCCACATGCTGCTTTCAGTGGCCTCCCTTTGACAGCTTGAGCCATATATATAGTCGGTGTCTAACAATCTCGCCATGCAATATTCTGTGGGTAAATATTTTTAAACTCTTGAATCAAGGAGTGATGAAATATTTAACAGTAGAGCAGCTTCTAATGAGCTCAGAAAATGGTTATCCTGCAGCTCTAAAGGCCTTTTCGTTTGCTTATCAATCCCCGTGATCTTGTTTTTATGAGCTGTCTGCTAGCGATAGTGTCCTCAGAGAAGTGGGTCTCTCATCCCCTGCAGATGAAGTGGCTTTTGTCTGTAAGGAGCGTAGGCACAGAATCTAGTGGGAAGTTCTCCTGCCCATATGCCATTGAAATACATGGAGGCCATGCAAAAGCACGGTAGTACTACACTCACAAACCACTTCTGCCATACAATTTTCTACCTGCATTACACGTAAGTGATGGGCAGCAGCCTCAAAAGCACTCAACCTTGGTTCTCAATGATCCCCTTCAAGCTAATTTAGCTCTGGAACACTAATGAGGCCATTTAAAACCAACCCTTCTGAATGCCAGATCCTACAGTGGAGTAGCAACAAAAGCGATGCCAGATTAATTGAACAAGGGAAGCACAGAAACATTGTACTGGTCAATCTGTACTTATTATTCCCACTACCACAACATTTTTTTATTGAAATGCAGAGATGATGATGATGATTTATTAAATTTCTGTTCCACCCTTCATCCGAGGATCACAGGGCAGTTTACGATAAAAACTCATCAAAATGTATAGCATAGTAACAAACAAAAACAATAACCCCCCCCACAGCTTAAAAGACCGTACATTGTTTAATTAGCCAAAGGCCTAGGAGGAATGTTTTCACCTAAAGATATGCAATGAAGGCACCAAGTGAACCTTGCTGGGGAGAGCATTGCACAAATGGGGAACTACCACAGAAAAGGCCCATTCTCGTGTTGATGCTCTCGAGAACTCTCATGGAGGAGGCACGTGAAGATAGGCCTCAGATGAGCATCACGGGGTCTAGGTCAGTTCATATGGGGAGAGGTGGTCCTTGAGGTATTGCAGTCCTTAGCTGTTTAAGGCTTTACAGGTCAAAAATAGCACTTTAAATTGGGCCCGGAAACTAATTGGCAGCCAACACAGTTGGACCAGGATTGGTGTTATATGCTCAAACCGGTGAGCAACCCGGCCACTGAATTCTGCACCAGCTGAAGTTTCTGAACCTTCTTCAGAAGTAGCCCCATGTATAATGCATTGCAGTAATCTAACCTAGAGGTTACCAAAGCATACATGACAGAAGTCAGGCTATCCCTGTCCAGATAGTGGCATAGCTGGGCCACCATACAAAGCTGATGGAAGGCACTCTGTGCCACTGAGGCTACCTGAGCCTCAAACAACAATAATGGATCCAGACATACTCCTAAGCTGTATATCCACTCCTTCAGAGGGAGTGTAACCCCATCAAGAGCAGGCAAACTCCCATCCATCTGGTCTAGGAAACCACCCACTAGCACTCTTATCTGGATTGAGCTTCAGTTTCATGGCTCTCATCCAGTCCATTACCAAAGCAAAAGATGTGTTGGCAGAAGGATGCTTGCAAAGGGGGACTTTCCCATCTCTCACTACGGCAAATATCTGCACTGCCGCAACAAAAAATGTTCTCCAAAGGGTCAAGGAACTCGCTTGAGCAATGTTGGGTGACGCTGGGTTCAAATACCTAATGGCAAAGGAAATGAATCTTTCTCCAGGCTGTTCATTACTTAGTGTAAGCCAGTTTGCCTGGAGGTGGGGGAAGGAAGTCTAACCCATGCTGAAAACATCTGCTGGCGAATACTGATCATTCTGTGCTCCTTACTAGTAACATCAGTGCTGAAAATCAAGGAGGAGATTTGAAAAGAATAGATTTTCTTCTGATGAATTGTTGATGTCCTCCTCTGTCTGGAGATGTCTTTGAAAACAAATAAACTTGTTGGAAGGGGACCTGAGAATTGACTCTTCCATCCCAAGTCTATCTGGGCTGTTTCTCAGAGCTGAAGTCATTTCTTTCAGTTGTCTGAAGTTTGCAATCTTACATACATGGGAAATGAAGTTTCACCTTTGCAAACATACTCCCCACCACCCAGAACCCAAATACTTCTATTCTATGCAGAGAGACAATGTCTGGTCCAAGGTCACCTTTATGGTCAAGTGAAGACCTGAACCTTGGTCTCCCGGGTCCTAGTCTGACAGTCTAAGCATTACATCACACTGGCTCTCATTTTGTTGCAAGTCCACTTACATATATGAACAACATGACCTGTTACTGGACCACAGGAGCCTGCTTTATTCTCAGTCAGACCATCAAGTTCAGTATTGTCCCTGCAGACTGGCAGCAGCTCTCCAGTGTTTCATTCTTACCTGGAGATGCCATGGGATGCATGCAAAGAAGATGTTCTACCACTTCCCCCAAGTTATCATGGGAATATACCGTAGTCAAAATATGGCTGATGAGAAATAAGCGTGAGCTGTCAACATAGGGGAACCCGAAGGTTTCATAGAAGAAATAAACATTTGGGGGGAAAGCCTAAGAGAAGCACACCCACACCAGCTGGACGAGGACTGAGCATGCCCATGGGGCACAGAATACTAAGGCTACACCCACATCATACCTTTAAAGCACATGGTTCCCCCAGAGAAGTGGAGTTTGTTAAGGATGCTGGGAATTGCAGCTCTGTGAGGAGTCAACTCCAGCTCCCAGTATGCTATGTTGAGGGAACCATGTGCATATGGCATGGATGCTCAATTCATGTCTTCTGCAGGGGAGATGGGAGTGGACTATTCTGAAAGAAGACATGGCTAGCTGGAACACTGAAGAAGAATTCTCTACACTGCAACTTTTTATTGCTGGTCTCTCTTGTACGTTTGTAGTGCTAAGCTGTTTAACCACCAGTGTTGTTGTTTAGTCGTTTAGTCGTGTCCGACTCTTCGTGACCCCATGGACCAGAGCACGCCAGGCACTCCTGTCTTCCGCTGCCTCCCGCAGTTTGGTAAAACTCATGCTGGTAGCTTCGAGAACACTATCCAACCATCTCGTCCTCTGTCGTCCCCTTCTCCTTGTGCCCTCCATCTTTCCCAACATCAGGGTCTTTTCCAGGGAGTCTTCTCTTCTCATGAGGTGCCCAAAGTACTGGAGTCTCAGCTTCAGGATCTGTCCTTCCAGTGAGCACTCAGGGCTGATTTCCTTAAGAATGGATAGGTTTGATCTTCTTGCAGTCCATGGGACTCTCAAGAGTCTCCTCCAGCATAATTCAAAAACATCGATTCTTCGTCGATCAGCCTTCTTTATGGTCCAGCTCTCACTTCCATACATCACTAACCACCAGTACTTCATGATTATATCGCTTGCCACTGAGTTGTGCTCTAGACAATTTGTGCTCTAGACAACTGGTCTTACAAAAACCAATAAAGTTTTTCTTTTCTTTTCTAAAGAGCAGTATCTGAGACCTTACCACTGTACCCTGACATTATAAGTGAGCTAGAATGTTCAGCTTCCTTATAAATCATGTAATAGGCTTCTAGAACACAGGATATTACTCATAGATTTTAAGTCTTAATAACTATTATATAAAAAAATTAACATATTGTGCTGGAAGGATTCAGTTTAGATTTGCATCATCATTTCTGCCCCCTTTTGATGAGTAATTTAGAGGCTTTCTTGCATCTCAAGATCAGAATTCCATTCTGCTTATCTTGCTTGGTACCAGTTGTTAAATGGACAGTAGATGCAAAGAAGCAGATTCCTAGAGAAAACTGCCTTATAAACCATGTGTTATGTGTTTATGGACCGTGAAGTACGTTCATCAAGGACAATATGATGGACTGCAAAGTCTGGTCGGTAATGTAATAGAAAAACTTATTTGTGTGGGTCTGCATTTTAATGTATAACTGTATAAAGTGGTTGTCACTGTATTTTAACAGTGTATCTATGCCTATTCTGCACAGTATGCATAGAATACTTCTATTTAGTATTTGGTTGAAATGACCAGGATGGTTGCAACTCTGACTACGTGTTTATGGGAAGCTCCTGGTGCTGAAATTGCAATTCCAACCACACAGCTATAAGCCTATGAGCCTGCAGCACGTAAGCTACATATTACCTCATGTAGGGCAGTTGACGTTTGATGTGTGTACTGACAGCTTCAAAAAGTCACTCTGGTCAGTGACTGGAAAAAATCCATTCATTCAGCTTCAAAAAATAAAGAAACAATTGCTCTAACTTTTGTGTCACAGCATGGATAACTTAACTGGGAGGAGATATTTGTATATGTAAGGAAATGCTAGTTTCCCATTGGAAGGGCATCAAAAGCAGGGGAAGTTCTTAAAT